CAGCTAATGACTGTTTAATGCGAATAGCATGTGCTTTTTCATGACCTCAAATTATCGTCTTCTCTCAGGCAAACCTGCTCTTTTGTATTTCCTATTAGTAAAACAGATCTTTATAAATCATGGTAGTATAGTTTGCATTTAGCAGATCATAAATATATAAATGCTTGAGTCAGTAGTTTATCTTTATTTCATAATTATAAATAGTAGCTCAACAGTTCACCAAACTTAAGGAGGTCCTTTACTCAAACCCCCACTCCCAATACAAATGGCTTTAAAAACCATTGAAGAATAATGTTTGCATAAAAAAAAAAAGAAAAAGAAAAATGAAAGAAAAATGAAAGGAAAAGAAGTCCCCTTTGGTGACGTTACCATGCCTCATCACTACCTTCCAGGAGAGCAGGGCATTTAAAATCCCATGAGAAAACACTCTAGCCCATTGCAGGAGCCCATTTGTGAAGGATTTTGACCACCCGATTCTCCTGGGAAACATGGTTACACCACCTGTGCCTCATGAAACTGGACAAAGAACCTTTTTTTCATAAAAACCTTTTTTTTTTTTATTTGGTGGGGGATATGAAGGTTGGGAGTAAAGTAGGAATTTCTTTTTTCATGCATGGTTTACTTTAAAAAATAAAAAAATCAGTGGAATGAATTTCAGGGGATACAATGTTTCCTTTATTAAAATGTGTTAGCAGTTATGTAAATTTCTTGTCTGCTATCCTTTTCACACCCACATCAGCAGGAAGCTTGGCTATAAAAAACCTTAGCACTGTGAAGAGGATGTTTTCTTTCTGTGCACATTCCATGAGTCATACAAGTAGCCACTGGAAAAAAAGCATTTATCAGGCTTAAATTTCAAGCGCTGCAAGGAATAGTTAAATGAAATCAAATAGTTAAAGAAAGTAAAACAATCTTCTTGAACCACCCATTTTCTTCTCTGTAAGGAAAATGTCAATCTATAGGGTTGCTCTGGGTGTGTGTATCTTCTTGATCTAGTTCTATGGATATCAGTCTTTGTAAGTATGCCTGGATATCTTACAAACCAGGACATCATGATGTCCTCTACACTCAGTGAGATGTGGATAAAATTGTCCTATTATACAGTGTTTGAACCGGAAGTTCAGTTTTACCATACTTCCTCTCATCCCTGGCAGTTCAGTGACTTCACGGTTCTTCCTCCTCCCCTTTTAGAAGCGGGGAAGGGAGTGAATGGGGGGTGATGGGGCAGTTCTTACTCCTACATAGTGCACGCATAATGACATGTGAGCAGCTTTCAGTTCAGTAGTATTCTGAACCAAGGCCAAAATGATGATACAACTTCAGTGGGTATGTTTTATAACAGCTTGGGCTTAGATTTAGTGGGTTGCATGATGCTGATCATCTTTGAACCTATAAGACTAGTGGCATCTAGGGGCAGATAGCTATTACTATTGGGACAGTATTACTGTTGGGGACAGCTATGGATCAGAAGTTAGTATTAAAGCAATTGCTGTTTTTTTATTTTTACTTTTGTTGGATTTCTTATTTTAACATAAAATTGTAGTTCTTGAAGCATATAATAGATATGATACTTCTATAAGCTTGCAGAAGAAAAACAAATGTTTTCTATTAAACAAAACTTAAAGAAAATCAGGTGACATATTCACTTATTTTAAATATATTAAATGAAATGGAAAGTAAAATTGATATAACAAATTGTCTCAGTAATAATCAAATGTGTTATGAAATCACAGAACTTCACTTCATCAATGGAATACTAGCAACATTGGATTTCTGCCAGATTAAAAACTTCAATAGCTCATAAGATAGATAGCACATCTACATTATCAGCTGTTGAAGTTCCTAACCTGGAAGAAAACTGAAAAAAATCCTTCAAGTCATGTGATCCCAGTTTATAGCACTTTTAAGCCTTGATGAAGGAGGGAGTGCTTGAGCATCCAAAACACAATGTTTTTTTTTATGTTTCCCCCAATTTGAAGCAATTAAAAATATACTTGGAAGCCCAACCATTGGTGTGGTGCCCTTATTATTCTCTATTTCTTTCTCTGAAGTGTGGCAGAGATGTGTAAATCACACCAATTGAACAGAACAACTTGTTTGCAGGTAAAACAGTAAACATACATGTATTTTGCATGATTATTTAGTTGATTGCCAGGAGTTTTACTTTAAATACTTTAATAGGATTTGACATTTTTCAAATTAAATATGTTACTGTACTGATCCTGGAATAATTACATTTGAAGTTATTTTTCTGGAGTTGGAAAGGTGTCAAGGATAAGCAAACATTTTCTGGCTTTCTATTTGTTTTGTATACAATGCATTGTCTATTATGTAAATATAAAATAAGTTTAAATAAACTATAGAGCAAGTCGTTATTGACTTTATCAGCTCCCACATACAGGTGAATCACTGATCCTCCTTTGCTAGTCTCTGTGTTCTAAAATATTCAGATCATGGGAGAACAGATATGACAAATGAAACGTACAACTTAACATTACTGCTTTTAAATATGGAACCAAAGTCATTACTACAGTGATGGTTAAAAAAAAAGTAAAAAAAAATACAATGTCACATACAGCAGGGCAAAAATGCTATACCTCATAGTTTAATACATTCTGTAAATATGCTGAAATCTGAACTCTGCCCATGGAACAAGAGAAATGCTTAGCAATAGATAAATTCACAACACATCCAGAAGAGAATTGGTCAGAATAAGGCAATGCCATGTCAGATGGTAAGGTAAGTCAATCACACAGAAAGTAGTTAAGTTCTCTCGTAAATAGGGCAAGTCACACTCACTCTGCTTCAGAGAAGCTTGTTAGATATCATAGAAACAGACACATATTCTGAACAGTTCATTATTCAGCAAATATGTGGCATCCTCTTGTTAAATATAATTATAACCTTATTAGTATGTTAGAAACAGTAAATTTCGTATCTATGAAAAAAGTACAAACTAAGGCTAATGACCCTACACAATGAAAGTGCATGACACGTTGTTACCCCAATTAAATTAAAACTACATATGCACTCCACAAAAGGGCATACAAACGTTTGTGCAATCCATTAAAAGTGTCCATATTATATTGTGTATAAAGATAGATATATATTGCATATGATGAGGGCATATGATCAGGCCTAGGATTACTAGCCAGCCAACTTTGTAAAAGCAAAACTGTCTTTATTTGAAAAAAAATGGCAAAACAGAATAGCTTCTTGTCAGTATAAACAGCATAAAAAGTCTATAGATTCTGGTATACAAACACAACTATGGCTCACCACCAGTAACACTCATCCTTTAACAAGGTTTTCAAGCCCCCACCTGTTCCAAGAGTCCAGAAAGGTTGCCAGAGCCTACCAGGGTCTTAGCCGGTCAACAGCCTCCAGTTATCTAACAACAGTTTCTGTTCCATGCTAAATCTCACAGAAACCTACTGACTGTTTTCTTGACCCTTTCAGGCCTCTTCTGTAGGTAGGTTAACCACAACAGGACCCCAATACCTGTACTCTGGGTTAGAGGCTCTTTCCTTCCCAAAGGCATTCTGGGCCTCCAAATTCTGGGTCCCAACTGAGGACACATACACGAAGAGTACATCTTTTGGCAGGTAAGACAGTTCACACATATGTATTTAAACTTTGTGTTTACAAGGACCTTCACAAAAATGGTGGCTATGAATAACGTGCAATACAGGGTGTTGTTTTCACCATCCTGAAAAAAACAGTGGCTACAAGTGACATGCATAGTTGCACTGAACACTACACAAAACAGCAGTGGACACAGAAATGCACAAAATAGGTGGCCACTATTTCTTCTGTTTTTTAGAATTGTAACTGCTGTTGATCACCATTGTTATTAAAACCCATGAAAACAGTTCCCCATATTGTATGTCAGCTGTAGCTACCATATTTTGAAAAGATATATTTGCGACTGACATTTACCAAAGGACACTGCTTCCACAATATGTGATATGTGAAGTTACATAAATGGTGTTGCATTGCCATTTTTGACGGTTAGTAGTGTAGGTTAGTGCCCACCATTAATTTGGTCTAACTTCAAATGTAACCATACATGTCAGACAGGGTGACATTAATATTTTGAGCTACACAAAATCCATTCTGACAGAAGATACATTGAGTGAGCAACTCAGTACCTGTAAAAATGTAGCACCAAATATAACAATTCATGTTATCCAGGGTTGCTGTTTTCATCAAGACCTATTAAAATAACAATACAGCTTCCTTTTTTAATTTTGCTTGAAGTGTATTCAGTTCTTTGCACTGGGGCTGAACGTCCAATGAAAAAGTGTGGAAAAGGAGAGGGTACTTTACTCGTCATCTCCTCCACCCCCACATATATGTGGTACACTGTCAAATCAGAAGGTGTGGTTGGAGCAAGCTCTTTCATACATTCTACATCCATCCTTTGACATAACCATTGTGAAGTGGACCTTTCCTTCAGTTTGAACTGTGAGCACTGTAAGGGTCTTAGTTTCCCACAATTCCTTTATCCCATTGGTAAAAATATTTTATCTACAAATTAAATAATACAAGCTTTATTACCAAATGAACAGTGACATTTTATTTGAAAAGAAGAACCACAATATCTGTAGCCTTGATACATGAGGTCTTTTTGTACCAGGGAGAAATAGGGTGGGCTTGGCTCAAAACACTGTATGTTCTAAAGAAATGGTCCATTTTTATTAAAACACAACTTTAGAGAAAATCTTT